CTGCTGAGAGGCAGGCAGGCACTTCCCTGACTAAGCAATCCCACCCGCCCAGAAGCAGCATCTTGAATGTGATTAAATTACATTAAAATTTGATTTAAAATTTTAGTTAAAATTGAGGAGAATTAAATGAGAAGGGTGCCTTTCTTCAAGTTGATGCTGATAGTTACTACTCATTTAAAAATCATATCTTAAAAACTCATCCCATTGGTGTTCTTAATTCTTGAATATGTCAAAATCTGATGAATCTATGGGTAAGTAAAATACATTGAGAAAATTAATGACAAACTAAAAGTAATGTCTTAAAATTATTTCCTATAATGTCACTTACTCAACTTCTTGTATTTTCCCTATGGAAATTGATGCCCTTTGATAATGGTATTGAAGACATAACGAGCACCTTAAGCAGTTATAAAATTCAAACAGTGCAAAAGGCTTAAAGTAAGAGAGTGAAAATTCTCCTCTCAAATCAAATACAATTATATATAATATATATAAAAATATTCATCACTAAAAGTGTAAGATCAATTTAATGTAAAGCAACACAGCTTCCTTTCTTAATTCCTATTCTAACTGTATAGAAGTTCAAGATGTGTATGTAGACTTTGGGTCTGGTTAATTTTAGTGTGTGATATTCTTATTTATTTGCAAGGATTTTTTAAATAATAAAGTTTATAAAATAAAAACTCTTCTCAACTAATATTATACTTGCTTTTCATTTAACTAATATTTTTGAAATTTTCTTTCCAAATGTTTGCATTGTCAATGTATTTTTTAAAAAATTGTACCTCAGTAGGCATTTGTGCCAATCAGCTTTCACTACTATAACAAAATACCTGGGACAAATCAACTTAAAGGAGCAAAATTTTATTTTGGGCTTATTGTTCCTGGGGGTTTAGTTTACTAGAACAGTGGTCAACTGACTCTTGCTTTTGGGCCTGTTGCTAGGCAGAAGCCCATGGCAGGGAGTGTGCCCTAGAGTAAATGTTTTTATGTCCTAGCAGCTGAGAAGCAAAGAAAGAGATGAAGAGGCAAGAGTCTAACTTAAGACTCCAAAAGCCTAACCCCAAAGACCCAACTTCCTTCTGTTTCAACCACCTTCTAGAGGTTTCACAGTTTTTCACTACAAGCTTCAGGTTGCACCATGAACATATGAACCTTTGAGGGATAATTAATATCTAAACCTAACAATATCACTCAATGCCATGTTAGCCTATTAATTGTTCTTTATAACTCCATGAAGCCCAAATAAGTATGAATTCTATCAATATTTGTACAATTGTATCCCATTTGAGGTTATCTACAATATTCAATGTTATTAATAATGCCATCCCAAACTAAAGGGACTGAGACAATAATTCTGACCCATTACCATTTTCTTTTAGCCTTAGAAATAAAATTTCTGAGTCAGTGTTTCACACGCATTGAAACGTCCATAGACGTTAACCGTGAGAAGGTGGCAGCCATTTTGGCTCCCACTCACGGTGCCTGTAAAGCCGTGCTTTTCAATTTGTAGTAATGGGAATACAGTTCATTCTTATTTTACATTCTTTGAAATTGTTGACAGTTTTCAGATATATTCTCCAATGTGTTATCTGCATCTGTATTCATCAGATTTCTCATTCTTATGCTAGTTGACAGTTCGTTCCATGTACATTAATGGTAAACTGACAAACCATTATAAATTTTGTTTTAGATAGTTATAGGCCAATTTTAAATTGAGAGAAATGAAAATTTTCTTTACAGCTACCTCAATATGTGCCTTTCCAAAAACTTCATTTCTTACTTACTGAAGAGAGGAGTTTCCTTTTAGCATATTTTACATTTGCCTAAAACAAACAAACAAACAAACAAACAAACAAACAAACAAACCCACGTTAGCATTTTCTACAGGCAAAGCTTCCTGGCCGTTTCTAAGGTTCCATAGCTAAGACACACTCCACTTTCATTTCAAGAACACTTTTACTGGGTGTAGAGTTCTGGTTTGACGTTTAGAGTGTTTAAAATACAATGCTTTTCCATCTTCGTCTGGGCTTCTTTATTTTGATAAATCAGACATATTTTGACTATTATTATTTCATGTGGCCAGTATAATTAATTTGTTGAGATTATTTTCATGTTGCCTAGCATCCAGTAATTTGGTAACTAGTAGAGAGTTGAAATCACTAGATACTAGATTCCTCTCCTCCTCCCCTTCTACCCTCTCTCATAAAAATATCCATCTATATCTATTTAGTAAGACTTGTATTTACATTCACAACCCATCTCTATATATTAAGACATATTTACATTCACAATCCATCTCTATATATTAAGGCTTATATTTACATTCACAATGGCAGTCTTCTGAGACACTTTTCTGAAAGTATGTGTTTATGCAGTATAACTGTGAATAATGTCAATGAAATTATCTACTCATACACTATAAAGATGGGTTCTATTTATTTTCTCCTAGTGCTTAGCTCTTTAAAAATGTTAGCCCTTCTTGGGTCTTGCTTTTGTCCATTCATGTAGTGTTGGTTCCCATTGCCTTCCTCAATCAGAAATGAGATTGTCTGCTCATGGCCGTTTCCCACCAGCAGAGGGAATGCAGAAGCATCTGATGTAACTTTCATCATTTACTGTCCTGATTCCACCCAGCTCCACCTCTGTTTCCACGTGTGATTACTGCACAATTGGCTTCTCTTGTCTTTGAAGTATTTCAACCGTGTAAGGCCATTTCCTTTTTCCCCACTGTTTCTTTGAGCACACAATCTCATCTGCTGTGTTTTCCAGCAGCTTCGTACAAAGCTCTACCCACTTGTGACACTTTCTATCCCTACCCCCATTTCTAGAATGCATTGTTCTCTTCCAAATATTTGCCCGTAACATCTACGGATGTGGCAAATTTCAGTAACAGTACAGAGTGCTATAAAAATGCATTGTTTACTGTCTCGGTTCAGTCTCCCTGGCTTTTAAGGAGTTAGAAATTAGCAGAAACATGCTAACATATTTCTAATTCTTAAAGGACAAGTACAAACTGCAAAGCACATATCCCAAGCAAAATCTTAATAGTAAATATAATACTGTTGTGAACATTAGTAGAGGCTTATACATTCATTTAATATTTTTTTGGGGGGGGGGTTCAAAACAGGGTTTCTCAGTATAGTTTTGGTGCCTTTCCTGGATGTCACTCTGTAGACCAGGCTGGCCTCGAATTCACAGAGTGCTGGGATTAAAGGCATGTACCACCATCACCCAGCTCACTTAACATTTTTAATAAAGGAAATGCATCCATTTTCTTTTATTATCACTATACAGGATTTCTTAGATGACATAAATAGGCAAATTTTCTTTTGGAGAGCTAGGTTAACAGGTTCAAGGCCACCTAGTCAGACTCTATTCCACTTCTTAGTCTTGTTTTATAAGACCTTATAACTTAATGGGTTTCCTGTTATTACAAAATGCCTGAAGTTGGGTGGGTACTTACACAAAAAAAGATATTTATTTGGCTGACAGTTTGAGAGGCTGAAAGTTATAGATCACATGGATGTATCTGTTTGGCTTCTAGTGAGGACCCCTTAGGCTGTAGCCTACTATGAAGAAGCAGTGACAACAGAAAGAGGCATGTTCAGGAGAAGCCAAGCACAGCTACTTACTCTCTCAAGAATGACCTGGAGTCTGAGGGAACTATAAATTCTTACTAATCCTTTCCGAGGGTGGCCACCACAGTAACTGAAATCTTTTCCGCCAGACCCTGCCTCTGAAACATTGTCACCTCAACATTGTACCCTGGAAGCCGAGTGTCCAGCACAGGCAGCTTGGAGGATAAGGCCACACTCAAGCCTCAACCAGTCCTTGCCAGTTCCCTACGGATGATACTTCACCTCACCGATATGGTGATATTTTATTTGTATTCAAATGTTATTTGTATGTTAATAAATAAAGTTGCCCGGGGGTCAGAGCTATTAGCAAGCCATAGGAAAGCAGGGCAGTGGTGACGTATGTTTGTGATCCCAGCACTTGGTAGGCAGAGTTAGGTAAGTCTCTGTGTGTTCAGGGCTACAGCCAGTATTGGATACACATGCCTTTAATCTCAATACCAATCATAGAAAACCTGGAGGTCTATACAGACCGGCCATGATGAGGCAGTCATGTGGTTGGGTTTACAACCAATGAGAAGGCAGAACAGAAACACTATAAAAAGACAGACACACAGGAAGTGGTTCTGGTTCGGAGAGGTAGGACCACTGCAGGAGGAAGGGTAAGGTTTTAGCTCTTAGCTCTGACCTCTTGGCTTTCTTCTTTGCATTGGTTCTGTGTTTCTTATTTAATAAGACGGTTGGTTACATCTACACACTGAGGGATGTTTTGTGGTTCTAGGTTAAAGGCAACACTGTCTCGGAATGCTCCCCCGCTTGCAGCCAACTCACTGTTCCCCACACTGTCCATGGCACCCCGTGTTTCAGGTAACTCCTTACATTCCTGTTCAGACTGGCTGCTCTGTCTCTGATCTTGGTGGCAATTCCAGGGTTCTGCTCTAGCCCAGCTCTTCTGTGTATCACTCTTGTTGTGTTCCCTATGGATCTTTGAAAATGTATTGCTAGTCTTCTTCCATTTCTACAGCTGACCAACAGTTCTAAGGATGTGGGCTCACCTGTTTCCCTGTTCTGTCCTTTTACATCTCCACATTTGTTTGTCTCTTTAGTGTGTGTTTAGGAGAAAGGAGATATGAGTACATGTATTGTCAGGTTCCTTTTGTTGGAGTTTAAAATTAAAATCAACACAACAAAGACCCAAATTAATGTACTAGAGAGATGGCCCTGTGGATAAGAGCACAGCCTGTTCTTCCAAAAGACTGGGATTCTAGCACCCACATGGCATCTCACAACTCTGGGAAATCTGATGTCCTCTTCTAGGCTCTGTGGGCAGCAGGCACAAACATGGTACACAGATATACATGCAGTCAAAACACCCTCAAACATACAATTAAAATAAAAAAAAATTGAAACACCCAAATCACATATTATTAAAGGTGGTTTTATTGAGTAACAAGTTAGAACACATAAAAATAAACTGATTAAAAGTTTTACTATCCATTTAAAATTAGATTCTTTACATATTAGAAAGTATTTTAAGTGATTAACTGTTAACTACTTACATATTATTTAAAATCTTCAATATTAAGGCAAGTATTTAGTTATGTACTGAGTCTTCTAATTAAAAAAAATGAGCTGAAATTTATATGAGATGAAGCCAATTGAAGCCTTATTAAACTCAAGGAACTTTTGTCTGTGAAGGGAATGTGGTACAAACTGAACTGTACTTCTCCATCTCTGCTTCAGAGTAAAACACCACATTGCCTGCAGTCCAAGAGTCATGTGGTAACACTATGGCCTGTTTGGTTTTACTTCCCAAATGTATCCAGAAACACTGTACTTTGAATTGTGACCATATGCTATGCTGTAGGCTGCTTTCTGGGGATCCTGGACAGGGGCTGTGAGCAGCACCCCCCCATCAGTCACATGACCATAGGATGAACATCTCATCTCTCATGGCTCACTGTGCTGGGATATATGGATCTTGAGAGCTTAGGTATATCAAATTCATTCTTTGTGTATAATATTTCCAACTCATGATTGATTTATGAAAGGAACTCTCCCTTTCATAAATAAAAAATAAAAAAAGTTTATCTTTCATAAAAAAAAACTCTGGTGGTCAATCAAAGATCATGTATCTTCATCTTTCCCAGGAAGGCATTGAAGTCCCATAAAAATAGTCTTAAAGTTTAAGCTCCTCTAACATTATCTGATTATAAATTTCTTTGGTCAATGGAACATAAGCTTTTTTCAAGGTATCCATAAAGTAAAGCGGGTCAGAAATCTTCAGTGGATGAAATCCTTCTTCCACTAATTGTATCTTCTGCAGCTTGAAAGTCCCTGTTGTCTCCATTTTATCCTAGGAAACAGTTACAGATGTGAGTGGGACAAGTTATTAGTATTCATGGTAGCTACGATGTATGATTACAATGATTAACAACGTAAGCCATATCTCCTTATCATGTGTTATATCCAATTAACTTCTTTATAGTTAGTATTGATGTAACACTGGCAATGAAACACTTTCATTCATCTGTGAACTTTATTGAAATATTAGTTTATTGAATATATAATTATTAATATAATCAACAAACTAAGCATGTTTGAAATACATATCCTACCTCATATCAAGACCAAAGCAAGATTATGAATGTATAATGTTGTAATAAGAGAGTTCTAAAAGACAAAATTTATGATACAAGTTTTCTCAGAAGGTTCTGGTAATTTGTGTCTCTGGAGTGGAAGGAAAGGAAAAAGTTAGTTTTAGTTTAGCCACATTGAGTCCTGTCACATTTAAAAATGTTTATTATGAGCAAAACTACCATGTTAGGAATGTGACTTAGATTTTTCACAAAGCACTTGTTTAATTCATGTGGTCAGAAGTAAGTTTTAGTTCTGTATTTTCTCAGATTACTTATTACTATAATTAATTTGTTACATATTTCTGTGAGACAGGGTCTCGCTATGTAGTCCTTCCTAGCCTTAAGCTCACTGTGGAGACCAGGTTGGCTTCAAACTCAAAGAGAGCCGCTTGCGTCTGTCTCTGCCCCTTGAGCGCTAGGATTAAAGGTGTGTGCCACCAAGTCCTGCTGCATACAGTTTTGAGATCTGAGCATGATGCTTTAAATGATAGGCTTTTTGTTAGTTGTAGCAAATGAAATATTAATCATAACTGTAATCGCCAATGTTCTGTTTGGAAAATTAATGATATTAAAAGATTTTTCTAAATGCTTGTGATGCTGACCTAGTTACTAGAATAATGCAATGCTAAAATATGGCTTCTGCTTCTGTGAGTAAATTATAAATTAAAATAGGATTAAAAGCTTAAAATGCTACTTTCTAAATCTATGTTCTATTCTGTGCAGATATATTTTTCGTGGGATAACAGAAGGAAGGATGAGGAGATTGGGAGTGGCCATGAAAGGACAAGGTAGCTGGGTAGAACTGTTGGCTGCTTCCCTCCCTTGGAAGCTTCCATAGAACCCTCTAGTACCATAACAGCTAATCCTCAGAGAGGAGCCTTTCAGGCCAGATACAGATCAGATTCTCTGGCTCCTGTGTCTGCAATATACAGTGTCTTAAGTCATAAGGAGTTACCTACAACCTCTGAGAGGCAAAAGCAGTTGCCTACAATGTTTTAAAACTTTTGGGTTCCCTGACCAACAACTAGTAAGGGGTCTATAAACTAAAACAAGGACCAGCATGGCACAATAACCCTAAGAGTGCCATAAGGGCACTCATATCTTAGTGTTAACCAAGGGCTCTCTAACTGGACTGAAGACATGCTCACTAAGAAGAAAACCATGCCTTCTACTAGAAATGTATCCAGCACCCTAGAGAGTCCAACTTGCTAGTGAGGTCATGAGTCTTGGAGGATACCCTACAACCACTGCCTTACTTAATCAGCATCATTCCTAACTGCATTCTAAATATTTAGTTATACCCACAGACAAGTGCTCCTCTTGCCCTTCAACAAAGAAACTACTTTTTGTCAGAGATGAAAAGCATTACAGAAAGCTATGACTTG